GGAATGATGGAAAGAGGGCCAAGTCAGGCTTACCCAATCACCACATGGAATGATGGAAAGAGGGCCAAGTCTGTTGTAAGTGCTCTCTGTTCCCAATATATGCATGTATGTATGTAACAAAGTAAACACATAAATGTAAATATATTCAATAATTTTTTCAAAATATTTGTTAATGTGTTAAGTGTTTGTTAATAGGCTTGATTAATTTACATAAGAACACTGAATAATGAACTTGTTTTTGCCAGTAGTGGTTCTCAATCCTGTTCCTGGCACCCCCCCACCAAAAAAATAATAATAATTCCATTATATTGTAATAATAGAACCACTTCCAGTTGTACATGAAAGGTATTCCTCATTATGGTATAACAGGTCAAAGATAAAAGTAGAGATCAAAGCTGTAATACACAAGAATTAATAACTAAACACCAAGTTCACTATAATGGAAAGCACATAGTTTGGGGTTAGATGGCCTTAACGCACTGCAGCAGCAATCAGGGCAGCAAGGGCTAGGAGCAGCAGGGAGCTTGCAAAATGTGGAGCTTTAGGAGAAAAATATTTAAAATGAATACAGATAAATGTTCCCAGACAGAATTTCATCAAATTACTTATGGACTAAATATTTTAAGATTATTATTGACTAAGGACAACTACATGAAATACAGGAAATGTGCTATATATGTAAAGACACTCGCCACATATGTATATATATATGCATATATATATATATATATATATATATACCTGAATTGCTGAAAGATACTTTCAATGGCATGGAAATGGATGTACTGTCTTTTACTTCAATGGATCTTCTCCTTCTAGCATTGTATCTAGGATAGCAAAACTGTCAAAGACAAAACAATATGAATTTCTGTTCAAGGGCAAATGTTTCCATAATTTAATGGCTTTTAGTGCTGCAAAGTGCACAAGGGTTATATGTTGTATATTTTTTTGTTTGCAGATCTATTGAACTCACCGTAGCACAATCGCACTGGGTCTTTATGCACAAGTGAATCTGGCAGTGCAGGTATACCATGGAGGCATTGTTGTTGAATGCAAACACATTGAAAGAGAAGCGGCTGGTGGTGGACACTCCATTCTGGTTAATTACTACAGTTCCATCCTCACGGTTGGGACACCTATGGGACAAGCAAAGAATGAGGAAAACCAGTCACATCTCCGTTTAGGTTACATAATTAAGGACAAGCACTTGCATGGCACGCAAGATGAGACATAGAAAAAAAAAGGTTTAGCTGGATAATGTACACTGAAGGGGGGCTGTAACTGTTACTTTGCACGCAGGCAGTTAGATGTATAATTTTCCACTTCAGAAAAAGGTTACATGTCAGTGATGCTTACTCATGGATGATGAGGTCCCAGCGGATGCCGGAGGAAGGATCATTAATGGGCGTGGCCCAACAAGAGTCTATCACAGTGGAGATTTGCCTTTCATCCATTCCAATCACTTCCACAGCCACATAAAGCCTCTCGTTCAAGNGGGAGGCTGTAATCTGACTTCCATGAATCACCAAATTCGTCATCTGTTTCTAGAAGCACCCCATCTGGGGAAACCTTGTCATCAGATGGATTTCCATTGAAATTTCCACACATTCCGCAGACAGAGCCCCGGAGGTTCTGACCGAGCCGCACAAAGAGAGTGCTACGGCCGTCATAGTGAACTTGCACATTATTGGGCATGGCCAGCACCACAAAGCCATGGTCTTGACGCACTTCAGTCGAAGTCCCAATGAGTCCATAATATGGGAAGTCACTGCCATTGACCTTGAAGAAATTCAGATTCTCAGCTGTTGCAGAGGTTAATGGGAAGCATTCACTTTACTCTAACAATACACAATAACTAAATACAAAGTCTAAATGTACATTGAACACTACTCCTCAATATAAATTAGTTGAATCTGCAAATTAGATGAATTTTGTAGTTTTGTTATTATATTAATAAAATTTATCACATTATTTATCACTATATAGCGAACTGCAAACTTCCAATCATTTCTTGCACAAAGTTATCACGCATTACCTTCACTTTCCCACGCTGTTCGATGGTGATGTTTGTCTCTTCGCCATCCTGGGACAGCCACACATCCACTTTGGAGACAAATGACACTTGGTTGTTGCCACGGTGCCAATTAGTAGCTACAACCTGGAACTGAAAACCTTCAGTGGTGTTACTCCCACAGGACTTGGTGATCTCGTATGAGCAGGTGCCCTGGAAGTGTGCAAGTGCCCCATCAAAAGTGTAGTAGTGGGGATCTCCGCTCACTGTGCAGGTAGACAGTGGGTCAAAGCAGCCTTGTCGGCCATCACGGACAGTGCATTCCTGAGTAGGAGTACAGGCAACCGCTACACAATACATCTCCTGGGAAGAGAGGCATGTGCAGTGCTGCGAGCAGTCATCGTTCCACAACTCCTCTCCGATCTAAAAGTCGCAGGTGGATACTAGTTAGTTTAAACCACTGCATTTTTAATCCAAATCCTCATGGGAGATCCCCAGACATTCCAAAATACAGCATACAAATTCAAAACATGCTCAAACTTCGGCATGTTCAAGAATGTAATCAATGTTTCCTCTGCATAATCGACAGATGGTTTTATGTTTAAAAGTTAGAGTTAGAATTCAAAGGTCGGAATGAAGGAAAAGATGGTGAAATTTTAAGTACTAAGTCCATCCACAAAGTGAGCTCTTAAATTCTCTATTTTACTTTTAAAAATCAATACTGGGATAACTTACTTTAAAAGAGAAGCCACCATACTGACAGCCACACTGTTCTGTAGGGACACAGGAACTGCCTTGTCTGAAATAACCTTCATCACAGAAGCAGCCCTCGCTGCAGCTCTGCGTGCAGGTGGCATTAAAACTGCTGTATCCGCAGGTGAGGCCACATTCTGATCCACAGAGCTCATAGTGGCTGTTCTCTGGACACTCCATCTCTTCAGTCAAACAAGGGATTTCAATGTTTGCAAAGCGCATAAAAAACAATGTAAGTTTATGTTGTTAAATATAGTGTAAAAGCCTAACATTTTAA